GTCGTGGACGCTGTGGGCGATGAGGTCTCTCAGGCGCTTGAAGTTCTGGAAGATGCGTTGGTGCGGCCCGGGCACCCAGTCCAGGAGGCTCGGGAAGATGTTGTACAACTGGGGACCAGAGTGGGAGGGTTTTGGAGGAGGACGAAGTGTGTTCAGGCGAGAACGGGTTCTGTGTGGATTAGGTAGGCAGGGACTGCGTCTCCAAAGGTAGCCAGGTTCTGGAGAGGCCGGGGTTGGGGTTGGGGTTGGGGTTGGGGTTGGGGCTGAAGGGGGAGTGGGAAGGAGGGAATGGCGGCCAGAAATGCTCAGCGGAGGGGAGTGGGCGTGGCCGTGTAACTCTGGGCGGGGTCAGATGGGAGGGGCGGGCCCTGGGAGGGCCATGAGCAGCCCTTTCCCCGCCCACTGTTTCCTCTCCATTCCTAGGTCCTGGGGACCCCACACCCCGTCCCTGCTGGCCTCAGTTGGCTGACCTCGCCCCAAGGGCTGCTCATGATTTGGAAGTTGTCATTGATAAGGCGGATAATGGTGAGCAGACGCTCATCATCGTAGTCGAAGCGGCTGCCGAAGAGCACGGAACAGATAATGTTGGACACTGAGCGACTCAGCAGAAACGTGGGGTCAAAGGGCTCGCCTGAGGGTGGGGAATGGAATGGATCAGGAAGACGCGATGTGCAGCACACCAGACCTCATGCAGCAACACCATTAATGTGCACAACATCCGACTCAACCATGGCAACCTGTCTTGCGGTGCAGAGCACAGGCACATGGTCACAACATGCTGCTTAACAACACCCCAAAAGCATGTGTCAATGCCACAGACAGCACAGAACCCACAACTTCCTGCAGCACATCGACAGCAACAATACCCAACCACAGAACTGGCTATTCTTGGCAACACAACACACAGCACGCAACATAGCACAAGGCAATCATCAGGCATCACGGAACACAACAACACAGGGCAACAGAACACCCAGCAAATAGTATCACAGTAGATGCTAACACTGGACACTCGGTGACCTAACAACCAGCCCGGAAACATCCCAAGACACGGTAACCACACACCAACACATAATGCCAGCATACAGCTCCATAATCCTGCCACACAACACACACTAGTACACAGCAACCCAGCAGACAGCACCGAACGCACGATGTGACATCACAACACGTACAATCAAGGCAGCAGAACAAAGGACACACTATGCAGCAACGCAACAACATTGGCAGCCAGCAGATGACACAATGCAAAACCACATGCAACGCCTGACAACTCTAGGATTCCACCCAGAAATAACACAACACCTAGCATCTGGCCGTCCAACAGCTGAACAGACCATAGTAAATACCGAACAGCACATTTCTTTTTCTTTTTTTTTTGAGATGAAATCTCGCTGCATTACCCATGCTGGAGTGCAGTGGCACGATCTCGGTTCACTGCAACCTCTGCCTCCTGGGTTCAAGCAATTCTCCTGCCTCAGGCTCACAAGGAGCTGAGATCACACCCGGCTATTTTTTTTTTTTTTTTTTATTTTTAGTAGAGATGGGGTTTCACCATGTTGTCCAGGCTAGTCTCGAACTCCTGACCTCAAGTGATCCGCCCGCCTTGGCTTCCCAAAGTGCTAAGATTACACGCATGAGCCACTGTGCCAGACCCAGTTTTTGTATTTTTTGTAGAGACAGGGTTTCATCATGTTGCCCAGACTGGTTTCGAATTCCCGAGCTCAAGTGATCCACCACCTTGGCTTCCCAAAGTGCTAGGATTACAGGCGTGAGCCACCATGTCCGGCCAAAACAACACATTTCAACACAGCACCCAGGACACAATAGCACAGCCCAGAAAACCAGATCTGGAGTTAGATGGATGCGGTTTGAATCCTCATTGGTCTGTTAGTCTTGGTGTGACTTGGCAAACTGACTTCCTTTCTCTGAGTGTCAGTTTTCTCATCTGTAAAATGGGTCTGGTGGCACTTCTCTCATCATGGAGCTACTATAAAGAGTCAGTGAGTGTGTTTATAAATAATATGTATTATTCTTGGTGTATATGCATATGTCTTTATAGGGATCTATGTTTCATGTATCTGGATATATCTGTGAGTGTGACTGCTGGGTCCTATGATAAGTGTATATTTATAAGAAACTTCCAAACTTGCTTCCAAAGTGGCTGTGTCATGTTTTCACTCCCTGTAGGCCCAGCTACTCAGGAGGCTAAGGCACTAGAATCGCTTGAACCCAGGAGGTAGAGGTTGTAGTGAGCTGAGATCATGCCACTGTACTCCAGCCTGGGCAACAGAGTGAGACTCGGTCTCAAAAAGAAAAAAAAAGAAACTGGCCTTAGGTACCTACCTCCTGGCCAGGTCGCAAGGGCATATTGAGCTGGGCCAGGGCTCTGGTGCCAGGGGCTAGGCTGGGTGGACAGCCCCTGAGGTCAAGGGTCTGGGAGGCCAGGTAGAGGTGTGGGTACCCCTACAGGTTCGTGGGTGTGCAACAGGATTGCTGTTCCCAGAGGGGCAGAGGAGGAAGTGTTTGGAGGTCCTGGGGAATTTGACACCCTAGGTCCCAGGCATATGGTGGGATGGAGGTGGCGCCCATGCTGTTGTTTCAGTTCTGGAAAGGCCGGTTGGGGCAGGCCTGGAAGAGGGCTGAAGGCTTGATGATGGCATTATATAGCTCCAGTTTCCCTTGGCATCTACCCCCTACTTCTAAAGGGAGGGTGCAGTGTTGGATACGCACCAACCCTGTAAGCAACTTTTCCCTTGCCCTAGAACTTGGTTAAGAGGGGCATAATGAGGCCGGGCGCAGTGGCTCATGCTTGTAATCCCAGCACTTTGGGAGGCCGAGGTGGGTGGGTATTCTATTTGCCCTACCATCTCCACTCTCCACCATGGCCTGTCTTTTTTTTTTTTGAGACGGAGTCTCGCTCTGTCGCCCAGGCTGCAGTGCAGTGGCCGGATCTCGGCTCACTGCAAGCTCCGCCTCCCGGGTTTTACACCATTCTTCTGCCTCAGCCTCCCGGGTAGCTGGGACTACAGGCGCCCACCACTTTGCCTGGCTAGTTTTTTGTATTTTTTAGTAAAGACGGGGTTTCACCGTGTTAGCCAGGATGGTCTCAATCTCCTGACCTCGTGATCTGCCCGTCTCGGCCTCCCAAAGTGCTGAGATTACAGGCGTGAGCCACCGCGCCCGGCCGACCTGTCTTTTAGAAGGGCGGCCTCTATAAACTGTTCCACCCATGCTCCCTTCACCTCTACATTAAAAAAAATTTTGGGTTTGGCCAAGGGAAGGTTGAGAGAAGAGTAATGTCAGATTATTTTGCTTGGCTGTGTGACAGCAGTGGTTGTATTCCTCTGCCAGAACCATGCCCTCCTGCTGGGGGTTCTCTTTTACCCCTATACAATCAGTCTCGGTTTCAGATACTGCTCCCTCTCACTGCACTTTTCAACCTAGGGACGATGATGGCTTCTCCTTATTGTAAGCCATAAAGTGCTTCAACATCTTATAGGTTTCCTTCACACTGCCCTCCACTTTGTAAAAAGTCCCTCCATTGGCCAGGCGCGGTGGCTCACACCTGTAATCCCAGCACTTTGGGAGGCCGAGGCGGGCAGATCACGAGGTCAGGAGATTGAGACCTTCCTGGCTAACACGGTGAAACCCCGTCTCTACCAAAAATACAAAAAATTAGCCGGGTGTGGTGGCGAGTGCCTGTAGTTCCAGCTACTTGGGAGGCTGAGGCAAGAGAATGGCATGAACCCGGGAGGTGGGTTTTAAAAAAAAAAAAAAAAAAAGGTCCCTCCATTAAGTGCTCATGTTTTTCTGCTGGGATTCTGATGGTCAAAGTCTATCAAATGAATGCATCATAATTTGTTTAACCAATATCTCGGTGCACATTTTGATTTCCCATTTTTCAGTATGTAAACAGTTCTTTGATGAATCTGGGTGATTTTGCACACTTTCATGTACATCGTAGGAGACATTACTACAAGTGGAGTTAACTGAATCCAAGAGTATGCTCTTTTGTAATTTAGACAAAAGCGTTCACATTACTGTCCTCTGAAGCCGTACCAATTTACAGTTCCACGAACCGTAACTGAGAGTAAGGATTGCTCTGGGAGGCTGAGGCGGGAGTGGATACCAGCCTGGGCCATATAGTGAGACATCATCTCTACAAAAAAAATTAAAAATTTTTTCTACTACTAGGGTGTGGCAGAACGCGCTTGTGGTCCCAGCTGCTTGGGAGGCTGAGGTGGGAGGATTGCCTGAGCCAGGGGGTCAAGGCTACAGTGAATTTCAATTGCGCCACTGCATTCCAGCCTGGGTGACAGAGGAAGACACTGTCTCAAAAAGATCAAAAAACCCACCCCAAACAACGAACAAAACAAGAGGCCATGATTTCACACCCAGTCATCTTAATAGCTCAAGTTTCGATTTAGAGACTGTGGTTTGAACATCTGCTAAATTCCTGATGTTGAAGAATCGCTGAGTCAAAGGTTTCAGCCTCTTTCCAAGGGAGAGAGCACGTGGATGATTACCATCTCATGCAGGCATTTGGTTTTATGGTTTTATGGACTCACGTGCTTGTTACAAAACCAGACACAGCTTTAGGGCTTCTTGTTACCTTCCCCCAACCCGTCCTTGGTAGAAGAGTCAACAAATGACATCTAAGCTGCCAACACATATTGGAAAATGTTTGAAACTTGAGCTCTGTGGTTTATTATGAAACATGAAGTGCCCTGGAGTTTGAATTTCTTTCCGGTTGGTCTTAGTACCCTGTCTGCAGATTCAGGGGAAAGGGCAGGAAGGGGAATAAGTGTAGTTAAGAGCATAGCCTTGGCCGGGCGCGGTGGCTCACGCCTGTAATCCCAGCACATTGGGAGGCCGAGGTGGGTGGATCTCTTGAGGTCACAAGTTCAAGACCAGCCTGGTCAACATGGGGAAATCCCCATCTCTACTAAAAATGCAAAAGTTAGCCAGGTGTGGTGGTAGGTGCCTATAATCCTACCTACTCGGGAGGCTGAGGCAGGAGAGTTACTTGAACCCGGGAGGCAGAGGTTGCAGTGAGCCGAGATTGTGCCACTGCACTCTCAGCCTGGGTGACAGAGTGAGACTGTCTCAAAAAAAAAAAAAAAAAAAAAAAAAGCAGAGCCTCTAGAGTCAAACAGATCTGACTACTACATCTGTGCTAGGTACTTTCGGTGGCTGAACCTTAATGGTTCTGACTCTCGGTTTGCTCACATGTAAAATGTGGACGATCATAGAACCTTTATCACGGATTTCTAAAGACTGCATAGCATACTCCAAGAAAAGTTCTGGTTTGCACAGCATCAGGCACAGGGAAGCTCAACACCTTGAAGCTGCTGTTTTTATTTCTAGGTCCCTAAGATCTTCCTTGTCCTCCTATGTCTCCCCTCTTGATCCTCCATATTTATTCCTTTCTTGAAAGTCAAGGGTCCAGGAAGAAGATGATATCCTGGAGTCCAAGCCCACACAATTGGGATATGTGGTGGACATTCACCCGTTCTTAGATCCACTGCTGCTCTTCCCCTGCTTGTCTATCACAAGGGGCTGACACCTTCACACTAATTCTGTCTTGAGTGAGACTGCGTAGGGGAACATGGCCATTTGGGTCCATTA